AAATGATCCACTTACTCCCTTTCCATAGGAGTTTCTAGATAAAAGTATTGACAAAAAAAGGAGAGATGCAAATGAAAGGGAGTGACTTTTAAAAGCATTTACGATTTAAGTATACGGGGCTAGGCAGATAATAATATAAAACTCGTGAATATACGGAGAATTAGAATTTTATTTAAATTAGAAGGTGAAATATTAATAACCTTGATAGAAAAATATTATTTATAAAAACATTATTTGTTAATAACGGCCAATTTATTCAATCAATAAAGCCGGTCTAAACGGTAATAAATATAAAAAAGTGCTATAAAAATTATAACATAACCTTGCCCAATTCCATTATCCATTTGTAATCATAAGAGGCCGCAACATCATCGGACGATAAAGCATACTTTAATCTTCAATGGAGGAATTCAAGCTTCTTTACAACATAACAAACTCATCTCATCAATTCCAATCAGTCACAACTATTGAAGGGATTCTCTTCCAAATTAATTTTGTTATAAGATATTACTGTCTACCTATTTTATTAAGCTGTGGTTTGGTTGGAAATCTTCTTTCTCTCTTGGTATTTTGCTGCAGTCGCTTAAAATCTCAACCATCTACTCGCTATTTATCATGTTTAGCAGTTGTCGATAGTCTGTATCTGTTGACTGTCAGTTTTGTGTACGATTTTATCCCTATTCCTTTTAATTCTTATGTATGCAAAGGGGTTTTCTATTTGTCCCATCTTTCTACTTTTTTATCTGTTGCTTATATATCATTATTCACCATGGAAAGATATATTGCTGTTAGATACCCGTTTCAAAAGAGACAATGGTGCACAATGAAACATACTAATCGACTTATTATATTAGTGTCGTTATTTGCATCTATCTTTTATTCTTTCTTTTTCGTAAGTATTTCCTTTATGGAATCTTATTTATATAAATGCCTCATCGATCCAAAATACGAATTCCATCTCTTTATAGTTGGGTTGATTGATACTATACTGAGTATGTTTTTACCTACAATTTTCATAGTATTATTTAACTCTTTAATAATACGAGCAATGGTACAACTGCGTCATATAAGAGGAAGAAATTTTGTTTTATCACAAATTCATATAACAAAACTATTGATAATTGTATCATTTTTCTTTGTTTTAATGAATGCTCCTGTTCAATCGTTGAGATGGTATGCAATAATTCAAACTGCGTACAATAAGAATTATTACAGAGAATTTACATTGGAACTTTTGGATCATTTATTTAATTATATAAGTATGGCGCATTTTGCAGTGAATTTCATTTTTTATGTTGCTGTAAGTAAAAGTTTTAAAACAGCTTTTAAAGGATTATGTAAAAGAGTTTTAAATGCTATTGAAAAAAAATTCTTTAATGATCAATCATCATCAATTTATGGTTTAAGAATCTTCTTTAAGTATTCAAAAGTGTTTATTGTAACAAAGTAATTTACTTGTAAAAGAAATAACGTATGCTCCTATATTCTATGCTCTCTTCTTTAATTATTTGTATAAAAGACAATTGAAAATTGAATAGTTCCACTTTGAAAAATTCTAGACGTGAAATGTATCTTATTTCGTATACGTCATTTGTTAAAGTATATATTTATTCAGTTTTCTATTCCTTTAGCTTGCAGAAATTGTATTATTCTTGAAATTTTACACTATTGCTAACAGTTTACAATCTCTATGTGGTTACATATTATTCTTAATAAAACTATCATTATTATAAGGTGTATTATTTTATTCCTTTACGGTCTTTTTTCCAGTCACGAAGAATTATATTTTATAGAAATACTTGTTCTATACTCAGCCGACAGTTAAGGGATAGTAGTGAAAAATTTATATTTGCGATTGTAAATTAATAATAATTCCACTTTTTATAAAGAATAAATACAATATGTAAAAAAAGATGAAGATCTCCGTTACTTTACGGAAGAGTATTCTTAATCGGAAGTAGAAAGCATTAGGAAATTTAGCGATTAATTGAAAGGCAAGCTGCTAAACTTATCAAAATTAGGTGACTGCCCACAATGAATAAGCTTATAGAAACCTGCTGCAGTTATATATCATCTCTCAGAGAAAAAAACTAGGTTGAGTAGTCATTGACCTCACGATATAATAAGCTTCTTTCATTTTCTTTAATTTCATCAAAATAAGCCAGTAATTGACAAAGATTTTATCAATATATAATTTACAACACAAAGACATTTGAGATTCTTTCTATTCAATTTTAGCAAAGACTGTTTTATAGTTTTTCTTCCAAGGAGTTATTGGACATTTTCTGGAGATTGTAGCATGCGCAACTGTTGAAATAGCATTAACAAAAGTTTAACAAACTATTCATTAATCAACAAAACATTAGCTACTCAAAGTACAGAGGAATACAAATAATACTTTTTACAAGAATACATGTTGTTAATAGTTATAACAAGTGGTCTCTATCGCTCACTATTCTCAAACAAAAAATCACAACTCTAGATGAGAGACAAAGAGAGAAAGAGTGTGTGAGGGAGAGGGGATGAAAGGGGAGAGTGAATGAGTAAGTGAGTGAGAAGAGAGTGTGTGTATGTGTGCGTGCGAGGGAGAAAGAGGACAGTTATAGCAGACACGAAATATTAATAAAAAAAAGCAATGCTTTTTCTAAGATTATGATGGCCGCTGACTTGTGCGTTTTTATTCTACAACGTAGATTAATACCTAGTCTCACGAATTTATGCTTTTCCAAGAAGGCAACTACAATACTTTGTTATTGTTTCATTCTTACAAGAATTAGACACTCATTTCTAAATCCATCTCGAGAACTTTTATTATTATATCAATCTTTCTGCATCTTTCACCTACATTATGAATCTAAGGGCATTTAAGAAAGATTTCTCCCTTTATTTCTATATTTCATGTATGCAAAAAGGGGGTGATAGATACTTTGAGAGAATATCTTAAAAAGGAATGTTTAAGAGGCTTAATCCACGTGATCATGCCTAATTTCATATACGGTATATACTTTATTTTGGAGCCAATTAATTATGAATAATAATTCTACTGAGTAATAAAACAATAATAACAAGATTTGGATTAGGATTAGAATTAATAATATTCTAATTTTTTTCAACTCATTTTCATGAGCAATTTTTTTTGTATCAGTACCAGTATTGAAATAATTCCAGAATATATTTATTAACTTATAAATAGATATTAAGGGGCGATAAATTGACATGTTGAAGGTAAAGATGTTGTTTACTTGAATTAAGTAGATATTTTATTTAAAGTGTCAACTGCATTTCGAAAAATATTCTTCTTATTATTTCTTCATTGTGAATGAAAGAGAGAATTTGTAATACACAGATAAATTGTTCTATTATGTATAAATTCTTCTCCTTCAAATGCTTTAAACCCTTTTAAAGCTTAAATTTAACGAGCATATATTTGCATAGATGCTAAGAATTTATTCTTTCATATTAGGTGCGATCCGTATATTGTAGACGTTTTGTATTTTTAGCTCTAATAGTAAACTAATTTGAATAATATTTGTTTAATGTCATAACCTATAGTCTACTCTATAAAAATTAACTATTTGAGTTTTTAATAGTCCCCCCATTGTTTATACACATGTGCCATTTGGATGGTAGTAAGTCAATGCTCTTCCGATAAAAGGAAGATGGTTTTCTCCTCAGAAATTCCCTGATATCTTTTTCTAGCTCATCTAAATTATCATAGTCAACTCCCCTGATATGATCTTTTAGTCGTCCAAACAAGTAATAGTCAGATGGAGCCAAATCAGGGCTGTATGGGGGATGTGGACATATCGACCATCACTGATTCATCATAAAACCTGTTGTGTATAGACTGGTATGGGGTCTGGCATTATCATGTTGTAAAATGATCTGTTTTTCAGGCCTTATCCTATGCAGTCATTTCTTAATCTCTTCAGGGTCTCCACATACTGGATGGAGTTGACTGTTTCACCATAATCCATGAATTCAACATGGATTAAGCCTGAGCTTCTTCCCTTTTTTATATTAATAACCCACCTTCTTACTGAACCTTAACTCAGAGTTTCATCACCGCAATAGCTTTTTAACCGTGTGTGAATGTTCTTTGGAGAGGCCTTCTCATGTACTAAAAATGAAATAATTTTTCGTTGATCGGAACGTGTAGGCATGACTAGCAGTTGCTTGCACCAAAATAATTTTGTAATGGCTTGACAGAATGGGGTGAAAGTTTTCACAATGAAAGCTAACAGATTAAGTAATATATTTGGAAAGTATCAATACTATTAGTTAACCCGTTTTAAAATTACAGCAAAACGTCTACAATATACAGATAGCACCTAATATTTAAAATCTATAACTAGCATATTCTGTATATTTTGTATGGTATATATAAAATTAAATTCTCTTAGTCGCATTCACTCATATAAACGTAATTATACATATACAGTATACATATAGAAAAAAATATGGGTGTAAAAAGCTCATTGAAGTTTTGAAAGGTAAAAAAACGTTTGTAAAGTTCAAAGTTTTCTTCTATAAAAGATCTTTTAGAAAATGTCAAAGGTTACTTAAAAAGTTCAGTATCGATTTTATACTATTGTTTTAAAGAGAAACAAAAACAAAAGCAGAGAATTTTTTTGGCTAATTTGTTTAATAAAAAGAAATTATTCTGCTAGTAACTAGCTCATTAGTCGAATCCATGAGAAAAGTATTATCTTATAATAAAGAAATTACCCTCCCAAAACCTTTGAAGATTTCTTTAAAGATATTTGGCTCATAATTCGCTTTTTATAAAAAAAAGAATTAATTTTCTTTAGTACTAGAATTAGGCTATTTAGAGTGTGGTGACACTTTTGTTTGGTTTAGATATGAGGAAAGAAATGAGGATAAAAATAAGAGAAATTAATAGAGGATAGGGAAAAAGAATAGATTTAAATTAATATTAAAGAGTATATAATTTCATGAAAGTGTTAAAAATTCAAATAGTGAATTATTTGATATGGAAAGCAATCACCAAAGATATTATATTTAAAGTTTGTATTACATTTAATGTTGATAAATTGACCATCTATGACACTTTGATAATTATTCACTTAATACCAATCACCGTTGTGCGCATTTACTTTGGTATAACTTTACTTAATATACAAATACTTTACTAAGTACTTGAAAGGCACTATTAAAAATAATCAAGTTAATACTTACCAATATTAGACCCACAAACTCCTGGACAATGCTTGATAACAGTATTTTTTCCTCTCCACATGATTATCCGACCGTATTCTGGCTGAACAAAGCTATGAAATTTCGGGAAAATAATAGGTTTCCGTTGATTAACTTTTAGCTGATAAATAAGAAAAATGTGAAAGAAAATATGAAAGAGCAAATTGCTTCAGGTACCGATTCTCTGTACAGAGATAATTTTAGGCAAAATTCTCAGTAATACTTACAAAAATAAGAAAATGTACTCTGGAATAACAACTGGAATCTTTAATATATTCTTCAGGCGAATAAAAATTTACTGGTTCCTCAAGGAACCTAACATGAATATAATCTTCAGCCCATTCGTCCCTATAGGCTAATGATTTAAATAACTTTGTCATATTTCTAAATGGATATTGCTTGGACAATAAAGGAAATCTACAATAGGTGAATAAACATGATTAATAATGATACAAATATTTTTAAAAACGTACTTCAAACGAGCTTCCTCTGTTGTTAACACGCCTTTATTAATCTGTGCATACCAAGTGTGTTATGAAAAATAAAGTTAATTAACTAATTAAGTAAATTAACCGTTTGGTTAGCCTGAGTCGATACTATATTTAATATAGTTTTATCTAAGGCATTATCGATTATAACAAGTCTCTTATGAATTTGGGTGGCTTTTATTGCAGTGTTTGCTAGAGTGAATGATTGTAAATCTCCTGTAGGCTGTAAAAGCGAAGGAAAGATAAAAACAATTTTCTCTATCTGCCGTAATTTGCTTCTATACCTCTTTATAAATTTCCCCATTGCACAGTTTTCTCTCTTTTTCATCAACACTTGAATAAGATGATTGCTCTTCCTCTGTATCTAAAAATTCGTTTTTATTCTCTTTTGCTTTTATTGTAGCATAATCTAAGCTAGTTCTAAAAGAGCGAGAATCCGGTTCTGTTGCGGATAAAGAAAACAAAGAGTATTTAATACAAATGCAACAATTTTACAGTTGATGTATAGTAATAACTTTGTCGACGTCTGTAGTATTTTTTTTATATTTGCCCTCAACCTCACTCTCCCTCAACCGCACCCTTCTCTGTCTCTCCTCTCAGTTGTTTTCTTTCTATCTTTCTCTCCCACGCATACACACACCTTTCATTCTAATCGTTTAAAAAAATCGTGATTGTTCTTAAAGATTTCAATTATACGGCAGGGAATTAATAGTAAGGTAAAACAACGTAAAGCTTTATATCGCATTCGCATATGTTTTAATTACGATGATTAAAAGAAAAGAGCAACGATAAAGGAAATGTTTACCCTGATTTAGAGAGAAAAAATAACAATAACTATTTTGTTTTTCACGCTTATTTTACTCTAGTTTATCTTATCGTTGAAATTTTTTTAGACATTTGCTTGAGGTATATATATGGCGCCATCTATCGGCTTAGAGTGGATTTAGGAGTTTAAATTACCATTTTTTAGTAGAATTTCAAATATATCTACTGCTTGCCTGTACAACTTTTTCTGATAAATAAAAGAAATCGAAGTTATTGATGCAAGATGAAGATAAAAAAGAATCATACTTTCAAATAAACGGCTGCTTTCATACTAGTGATTTCTTTTAAGTGCTTCCTATCCGAGAGAAAGTTTTCCCCCTCTTTTAACCATAACAAGACTTCATCGTCGGCATCTTTCGCGTAAATATCTTTAACAAGATGGAGAAATTCCTCGTCAGACCACTTTGCCATTGTATGATGCAATAGTTTTCCATTGAGTAAAGACTTTATCGGTATTGAATACATTTTAATTAGTTGAACAATTTCCATAGCTAAGAACGGTGTAAGTCTTTTCAAATCCAAAATATGTCTTTGATAAATATTTGCCGTATTTTTAGAATCTAAAAGAATAGTAGATTTTTAAAAATTAATACTTTAATATAAATTACCATAAATCGAAGAATGCAAAGAAAGATCATGAATATCTTCAAGAATATGATACCAAATGTGTGTCAAACGAAATATAGATCTATATAGAACTATTATATTAAAATGTTTATTTTTGACCAAGTCATCTCTTAAATGTTCAACTTCTTTTAAATTTTCTATCGTTACTCTGAAAAATATAACAACAGCAAATTATTATTATTATTATCATTGTTTTCGTATTGAATTTATTATATTACCTTAAATTATTATCAATTTTATCTTTATTATCAAAAATATATTCATCTTTTTCGTATAAAGTTTTAGTGAAGTTTCCTAAATTATATTCCAATTCGAGAATTTCTTCAATATATAAAGGCGTAATCCAAAATTGAACTGTTAATCTTAAACAACTAAACAATAAAATAGTAAAGAATATTTTATCTTTCATTGTCAACTCGAAATATCTATCTGAAATAAAAATATTACTTAAAAATATAAAAAGCTTGCCACGAAATACGACAGATTTTATTGAACTCTTTTTATTGATACCAGCTTGGTAAAAATTGATTTTTTTTTAAATATAAAGAGCGTTTTCGTGTCGAAATATATATATGCATGTATATATAGTATATATATGTATATATATATATATTTAATAGAACGAACTGAGTCATTATATCTGACTACTTAAAGAGTAATACGTGCTGGAAATATATTTTAAAGGGCCAATGTGATTTGTTAAAAAAAATTATGTAACGAGGAAGAAATTAAACGGCGGCAAAGAAGCAGGTTAAATGTTTGGAATTTCCGTTTTTAACTTATTCAAAAACACATCTCAATTATCACAAATTATCTTAATGTAATAGAGATATTAATATATAATCTAGGTATAAATCATCTAGAAATTTATAATCATTTTTACACTGAAAAGAACTTTTTGACTAAGCCAATCCCTTCTTAGGCTGAAAACTATTTGAATTTAACAGATGGCGCTGAAATACTTTTCTTATTGTTGCTTTTTACGATATCAACTCTTCTGAGCTTTTAAAAGACTACGTTTGTCATAATCCAACTTAAAGCGTTGATTTTTTTTCACTTTGAAGAGGATTCAAGCAACATCTTATGACGTTGCTACCGATACATGAGAACTAAATCGGCTTAATTGTCAGTGAATCCTTTTCATTCACTAAATTAACTTATGAAGCAGTATGTGTAGTCTTTTAAAATATTCTTGTATGAGAAACCTAGCTATTATGTTATACATTGAAAAAAAGTCGAAGATTGATGTACACTTGTGAATAATAGTACGGATCAATATAGGCCGAAAATACAAAGACAACTTAAATGCTATAAAACTAAGGAAAAATGCATACTTTCATCATACGTGTTTACATTATTAACGTGTTTGAAGATTGCTATCTTATATTAATCTTATTAAAGCTAATAATCATTATTTATTTTAAACAAAATAAACGAAAACCAAGTAAAGCTTTCGCAAATAAAATGAAAATTATTATCAGTAAAAATGTAGATTGTAAATCATAGGACGAATGTGATCAGATATATATATATATATATCAGAATTATAGAATATATATAAAAATTTCTTTTTCAACATTTCTTTTTATATTACAAGTAGAACAAATTCTAACGAGCAGCCTCAAGCAATTCTCAACAATTGTTTTTACTGTAGAATCCAGAAGAGAAAGGCTGATATGTAACAGTGAATTTTCTATATTTTTCTTTTTTATCTCGCTTCTTCAATACTAAAAACAACTATTTTTATTTAATTACTTTTTTTTTATCTTATTCAATTTTCAACTCTTCTCTCTTCTGAGTGCCATCGCTGTTTCTATTTGTACTATTTCCTTTTGTTTTATAATACTAACCTGATTGAAATGTATTCAATTGTTATAAATAAATTTTTAAAGATAATTTAAGACTTTTTTCTTGTTAGAATACAATTAAAGATTAAAAAAAATTGATTAGTAGGCGGAAAAGTACGATTAAAAATATTCAAATCATCATTTATTATATAGTATATAGTTTATGAACAATTTGACAGTTATGCGATTATTTTATTGAAAAATTCATTGATTTATTTACAATATCTATGATGTGATTAAAAACCAAAGAGAAAGAGAAAGAGAGAGAGATAAGAAACCATCCTGAACAATATAAACATTCAACTAACAGACGATTTTAACAAGTTAAATACGTTTCTCCTTTCGATAAAAGTAGATGTAAGGCTATTTAAGACACTTTTACTAATAGAGACAGTCAATTAACCTGATAAATTCGATCCCCTAGGTAAAAGACAAAAGATCACGTAAACTATATACATTTTTATCTATTAATAATTAAAATCTCTAAAACATATGGTAAAAATTTAATCATTATAAAACAACCATTTTTAGAAATTTTCAATTAAATTAGCCCATAAAATGAAAGTTTTTAATTCAATTATCTTTTTATATGTAAAGCAAAAAGTGAAAAAGCTAAAGGAGGAAGTGCCATTAAAAAAATATCTTGCTGAATGGTCAAAGTTGTATTATCTATCTTATAACTTGGCGATAATTTCTATGGTTACCTTGTAGAGTATAACTATAGAAAAACTATTACAAAGAAAGAGCAAAATGGATGCAATGCTTGATAGGAGTGAGATAGAAATGCCATTTCTATTTAGTTACAGCTGATTTTTTTTTTGTATATTTGCGTTGTCAAGCTAACTTTCTTATCAAAAACCTATATATAAGTCCCTCCTGTCGATTCAAATAAATCTTATTTCTGTGTCACAAGTGGAACTAGCAGAATGGCAGAATTTCAAAACGGTCTCTTTGGTTGCTTTAGTAATTGCGGCCTTTGCATATTTTCATTTGTTTGTCCGTGTGTACAGTAAGTATAAAAATATAATAAGAAACTGCTTTCATCCTTTAATAAAGAGTAAAAAATTGACTCCCTTTTATTTAACATCTTTTATTAAGGAAAGTAATGAAGTCACTTTCACAGGTGTTGACTTTTTAGGTGTATACCGCCTAAATTTTCATAATTGAGTTATACGAGGTTCTTATTAAAATAAATTATTCATTACTTAAGTATTCATACTTAATTAAACATTCAATTAAGATGATATTCTTTAAAGTAAATTACTTGTGTTTGTAATTATATAGTACTCTTTTTACTTTTTTACATTTTGTGAATGAATTTTTCACTATCTAAGAAAACTTATCAGGCGTGGGAAGTCATTACGCTTAAACTTCAAAATGATTGATAAGACTTTAAAGAGCTTCGGTTGCTAAAATTATAATCTAAAGATAATTGTTTGATGTAGATTTGGAAGAAATGCTGAGAAAATGGGCGAAAGTTGTATGCTCTACGGATGCTTTATGTTTATACCAATTTTTAATTTCTACATCACTGCCAAAATGAGGGAAAGGATTAGAGAAAAGTATGGAATTGAGGATTCATTTTTGATGGACGTTGTTATGAAATGTTTCTGTCATTTCTGCTCCTTAATACAAGAAACTAAAGAATTAGACGACAATGCCGGTGGATCAATGGCGATAGATAGGCACTAATAGAAGAGCTAAAAATAAAAGCATGCACAAATGAAAATGAAGAAGAAAAATAGTTTAATTCTATCTTTCTCATTCATCTTTTTCTATAAATTCTAATATCATTCTCAGTGATTTTAATAACAGAAAAAGTAAAGAATGATATATTCAGTAATTGAAACAATAAGATTTTCAAACTAATCCAATATGAACTCTTATTCTTCTCAGGTTGAAATTATGAACAATTTCAATAAAATTCAATATTCATAGAGCATATTTGCTTTCCTTTTATATACAATAAAAACAAAATAAACAAATAGTACAAGATTCTGTTGATACTTTATTAATAAGAGAAGGAATTAAAACTTGCCTTGTTTTTAGAATTTTACGATATCAAAGACAAAAACGAAAAAATTGGTTTTATCGTTAGAAGTATTATTTCTTCGTATATAACCTAAAAGCTTTCTGAAACGCAACGAATAGTATAGAAAGATTTGAAAGTGGAGAAGCCACATATAAAATATCTTATTCAGAGAACTTCTCTTCGCTTCAATCATGCATAAAATTTTTTGCATCGTATTATAGAGAAACTTGTAAAAATACACAATTATCTTTTATCTAAAATATATACAACGTTATATCTTTATATTAAAATATTAATGAGATTATAAATTGTTTATAAAATATGAAATATATGCAAAACATTCTTTAATTATAGGTAAATATATCGTATTATATTATATATGCCTTATATAGATAACAATAGCGATAACGTATACTGTAAAAATTATACGTAAAAACGCATATAAGCCTTAATATGCTTTATTCTTATTTATTACAACACTTAAGAAGTATGCTACCTGTGAAGTTTCCTACATGATATAGCATTTACGTGAAAGAATGTATTTTTTTTTAGCTTGTAAACCATGAACTTGGGAAAATGTGATAGTTTTATTATATTCTTTTATGTTAATTTTATCCCTAGAATTATACGTAAACACTCTGAAAAGATTAAAAAAAAGTTCTCTAAAGGTTAAAAACTCTAGAGAAATAAGGTTAGTACTGACCTTGAAAAATAATTTTATTCCATAGAAGTATTTCTCATATATAAAAAGAGTTAGACAGTTTTGTAACGATGCAATAAGTCAAAATTATAGGGAAGAGAATGTTTATCTTAAGTAAGTATTGTATTTTGTGTAAAAGGTTTTATCCTTGAAAATTCATCGTTCTACTTATAAGATTATTGAAAGAAAATCTTTAATTTTAATAAAATTATTGTCGAGCAAAATAATAACCTGAAAAATGATGACAAGGTTAGAAAGCGTTTCTTTACCTCTATACTAAATATAGATATATTTTTATTATTAATAAGATCCTCCCTGATGTAACAGCATAAACAAATATAAATAAAATACATTAAGATCTTTACCTTGTCTTCTATTCTTTTACTTATTTTTCCATCCCAATAAACTTTTTATACAATCTATTTAGCTATTACATCTTCACATGTTATACTTTTATATTTTCTCTCCTATACATTTCCAAATGAACCAAAAGTGAAAGAGTATTAAAGATAAGACTCCGACTGGTACAGCTAAATATAGAATTTGTATTGTTTACTTGTATACAATCAAATACTAATACTAATGCACATTTTATATACATATATATATATTTTGAAATGACAAAGAAAATGGCTGAAAAACATAAAAAAAACAAAATTCTCCAATAGCTTTAACATATTTTATTTTACAGTAAATTCATGCTAATATATAATACTATACTATTACTATATTTCTTTTAATGGCTTTTTTCTTTAAAAAAAAAAATAGTATTTATTTTATATTACAACTTTTCTCTTTGTGTTTTTATACTTTTTTCTGTTTTGTTTCTTCCTTTTTAAAATTCTATATTTGGAATAACAAAACCTTTTGATTTCATCTTTTTAATTCTCCTTATGAATTTTTTTTATGTTTTTCTTTTTTTGTCCAAAATCAATAAACTCTTTATAGATAATAATTTTCTAATAAAAGATAATATTGTTCCAGTGTTAAATATTTCATAGTTTCTTTATAATGTTATGCTATGCAGATTGTGTAAAACTATTAATAGACTATATTT